ACAAAAAAAAAAAAAAAGAACCTACAGGTTAAATTCTCCTTACCATTTCTTTCTTGTTTTTAGCCAAAGTTTCCCTTGGGAGGTTTCTTTGTCTGCTCTGAGACTCAGCTCTAGAAATATAATCTGCAACTGTGACTGTTGAAGATGAGAGAAAAATTACAGGTGTTGAAAAAATATTTCTAAAGTTTATTTATGGATAAAGAGTTATTTTACTTTTAAAATAAACTAGTGGTGGGTTACCCAATTTCAAAATTTTCTTAAGCTGGGTACCACCTCCAACCAAAAACAAAGCTTGAAAAATGTGCCTGTGATTTAGTGCTGACAATAGAAAAATTTCAAGCTGGAGACTGAGGAAGTCTACATTAAAGTCCTCTTTCACAAGAATCCAGCCATTTGCTTCTGGTGAGTCTACAGTTGTGGGCTAAATTTGTTATAAAAATCCACAACCAAGAATAGGAGATGCAGCATTCTAAGCCCCAGACAGTGTTTACACTTCTGGGGGGAGAGGGGAAGAATGGGGCAAAATTAGTGCAAATCATGGTGTGGCAGGCTTCAAGCTGAAATTTTCATCAAAGATGTAACAGATTTACTCAGATATTAGTTGTTCAATTTTTTTAAGTTGTTTATGTTTTTAAAGTACAAATAAGATATCCAAGTGTGGTATTTTATGGTTCCTTTTTAACATTTCACACTAGGAACCACTCTGAGTAATCTTAAAAAAAAAAAAAAAAAAGAAAGAAACTGCAAGCAAACTAAAGATGACAGAATACCAATCTAAAAATGTGGACATTGATTATGGTGGGAAAAGCGCCACCATGAATTCAGTAACAACCCCCTTTCCTCATTTTGCCAATCTTTCAATCTTTTAAGAAGCTGACTGAAAACTATGTGTGTGCAGTGACAGTAGGGATACAGGGAGAAGACTAACCCAAACTCATACCCTACTGCCAACCCAACTGCAGAGAATGACCTCTGGTCTGCAGGTATTTGTAAGTGGGCTGGACCCACTCTTATAAGCTCAATCCTTTCTCTTCAAGGACTTACAAGTTAGAATTCACTGATTTTCAGAAATATCAAAATAATCACCCTCTTCCTTTCAAAGAATTATTTTTCTCTCAGAAACTGTTGGGGAAAAAATCTTGACTATGTGAAATACAGTGTATTTTAAATTAAGAGAACAAGTTATTTATGTAACAAGTAAAACTCAGGTAAATTTAAAACTTAAAGTCACTATGTATGGGGAGAATTAGTCTATTAGGTTCAAATTTTATGAAAATAAATCACTTTGATATAATAAACAGCTGGATAGTATTACAATTCCTTTTTCTTAAGAATTAACACCCTAGCACCTTTATTAAGAGCAAAGAACTTTCTAGAACTATTAAATGTTTTAAATCTCAAAAAAACAACTTGAGAATACACTTCTTTAGGAACACTGCTAAAGATGTTTCCTGTCTAAAACTCTTTTCTTCCAAATTCTAAGAAACTCAGTGTGTTTATTTTGGAGTTTTTTTCAATCATTTAGATTCACTGTTAGTGAATTTACAAATACATTTAATAAGTTTCCAAAATTGGGGAGGGAGATACTATCAAATACACTTCATCATTATGTCCATGTACATGGGAGCAAAAGCATCCTAGGAATTATTCTAGTTTGGAGAACATGTTAATGAATTCATTATTTTCATGGTTCCAGCCCTCAGTGACACCTGGGAGAACTCAGCTACTTGGAAACCCTGCTGCGTAGACACATATACTGCTAAGTTTCAACAGTGACAACTCTTAGACCCCTTCATCCGCTAGGTACAGACATGGAAAAATACACTTTGATACAGTTTAGCAATTAATTAAGAGGCACTTAGCTGGAAAGGTAAAAACTTAGCAGTGTCCCTCCCTAACCAAAGGGAAATAAAAATAAAAATAACCTCAGTTGATTCAAAAAAACACCTGTTTATAGCCAGTCTTTATAATATAAGCTACTTAAAAGTTCAAAGCAGATTAATAAATATTTACAATATCTAGAAAAAAAATTTAAGGCAATTTGTGCAGCATGATTTGGACTCTAGAATTTCCTCTAAGGTTCAAAGTTAATGAACTGGACACCAGTATACTGCACATTCTAAGTATAATAAAGAATGTTCACAGCTTAATTTATTACCAAAGGCAACAAGAACAAATTAACTGTATATTTCAGAGAATGCTGACATTAACTTTAGATGGAAGCTGACTTCCTATAACTGCTGCCGGGGGCAAGGAGAAAGGAGAAAATATGTGCTTGTTTTCCACCTATCCTATCAAGATGTGTGTGTGTGTTTTGTCTGGGGATAGGCGGGCTGAGAAAGGCATTCTTGCACTGAATTCTAAAGAGAAAAAGCAGTAATTCCAAAGAACAGAGTAAAATAGGAATAAATGCAGACACAAATCACTGTCAAATTATTCAAGTTTCGATTAACACCATGCAGAAATCTCTTCCTTTAACAAACCCTTTTATGTTACTTCCTTTATGTTATTTAGTTTATGTCCTTTGACTTAGTGATAAACCACCACCCATCTAGTTAATAAATTACGTTGTAATTTATCCTGTATCAAGCCCATACTTATAGCTTAAATCTTATTTATAAAATATAGCCAGAAAGTTTACGCACTGCTATGCCAACTTCAAAAAACAAAATCTCTTCATCTAAAAGATATTTCTAAAACTAAAGAGAAGTTTTCAAAAAGAAGGGAAAATAATAAACATTTTCTGGAAAATTTCTATTTTGACCATATTTAATTCCTTTTAGATTTACAACTATTTTTAAAACATGAACTTTTTTTTTTTAAGAGTGGGAACTAATACCCTTAACCAGTTTTCTCAAATGTCTCTACAACCACTAAACTTAAAATAGTAAAGATACTGGAATTTACAGTCTTTATTTGGGGAAAACACAAGAATTTGTTTTGGAAAGAATGCAAAATTGATTAGTTTAAAAGGGGTTTATTTCTGGTGAACACAATTTCTTCACTGTGGATATACAGCATGATTCTCTGTACATATGAAATGGAATTATGTTCAAAATAGTATAGACAACAGCAAACAAGTTTCTTTTAAGTTACTAAAAATTGTATCTACTTAAATTAACAATCTAAAGCTAAGTAAGTACTATTAATTTGAATAGTTAGTAGGTTTAAGGGAAAAGGCATCACACTACAATAAACAAACAAAAACATAACATGCATTCCTCTTATTAGGAAAAAGACACTTCTCAAGTATTTTTCTCATTTATACTTTTTTTTTTAAACTGTGGGTATTAGAATTCCCACAAAATTGAGGTGCTGAATCCAGATATAGTAAGCAGGCACCATGCAAAAGCTGCCCAGTTTTGCCAATCAACCTCAATCACAATCTACAATATAGTCCCTGGCATGGCAGGCCCCAACTCAAGTGTGCAGACTCTGCCAAGTGGACAAAATAATGATCTTCTCAACAGTATTTTAATGTAAAAAACTGAGACACAACATTAGTTCAATTAGAGAGGTTACTAAACATATGTGAAGGAAGAATGCATCTTCTTAATAGTAGTCTTATTAGTTGAGTAAACAATTTATGCAATGCACATCTTGAATGTATATGCACACATGTGTACATGTCAGTATAATATATTTAGGAAGCAGACACATGACAATTTTTTTTTCATGCTTGTGACCTGGTGTTGTCAACAGGTCCACTCAAGTTACCTGGCTGTCTATCTTCTGCCTGACCCCTGAAACGACGCCTGCGGCTACGATTGCGTCGCTGGGGTTTTTTTTCACTATCATCTGTAATTGCAAAGTTTACCATGAACTATTCTGACAAAAACAAAGCAAAAAACAAGGCAAAAAAAACAAAAACAGAAACAAAACCACACAAAGACAAAAAAACCTAAAAAACTTCTTTCATTTAAAGATTGAAGGAAGGAGAAAGAGAACCTTTTAATTAAACAGTAAAGATAAAACAACACACATTACTCACAGGAAAAATACTTCTGTAGTTTTAAGCATTCCAACTAAATTAAAAATGGAATTATCATCTGGAAATTAAGAGGGTTTTAACTCTTGATTAAACAAACTCTAAGACTTAATTTAAATTACCATCACTCAGGGATAAAGTTTTCCTCTCCAATACTGTTTAGTTTTTACCAAAATTAATGACCTTTTAGCCCTTTGGAAATCAATGCCTACTCAGTACACACATCTTCATTAGTGTCATTTATAGTAATATTTAAAGAGACAAGATGAAAGCCCAATTTTGGTTTATGAACAGTGAGACTATTCAGAGCCTTGCAGTTTGAGTATTTATATTGTTTTAATGGCATCAAAGGGCACTTTAATAAACCCTCCCAGTCTCAAAAAAAATTGGCCATACAAATCTGAGAACTAGACATTTAAGACAGACACAAAGCCATCTATTTTGTCTGAAGTAAACACTGTGAATTGCATATGTCTGGGATCTTTTTTTGCAAAAAGCATCATACATTAACAATATTATACAATAATATATGTCTTTTCCCTAAGTGCTTACATACCTAGCCCATTTTCATTAACTGAAGCTGTATCAGATTCAGTCATCCCATCCATCAGAACAGCATCTTCATCAGTCCTTCGTCTACGAGACCGCCTACGACGGTTAGTACTGTGATGAGATTCGCTGGCATCAGTGTCTGCAGTCTGATCTGATTCTGTATTATCAAGTAAGCTGTATGGATTGCTGTCTGGATCTTTGAGCACTATATGCATGTCAGAGGCAAGAAATATTCGTTTAAGAGAGCTGCATTTATTAGGAATGTTTTGATCTACATTGAACTACATCAATTAATGATAAACTTCAGTTCTCCCCCAATAAAAGTATACTCTTGTCTTCAGATAAAATGTTTTATGTATCACTATTTTACCTGAAAAATAGCAAGTATGAAAAAATTTTAAATGGCGATGAAAAATTAAAGCAGATCAGGACACCTTGACTTTCTACCATCTCTCTTTGACCTGTTTTGAAAACGTATTAGGAAATAGTATATTATAACATGCTATTTTTTACATTCACATTCCTAACTAATCCTATCCAGAGGCTAGAGAAATAAAAAATGAAGAAAAACAAATCAGCTAATATGAATTAATCCCAAAAAAGCTTTTTGTCTCCATAAATGAGTTCAAGGTGGCTGCTGCTGCTTCATGCCAATGTTAATGAACTATTTCCAAACAATACTCAACACCTGCACTCCATGACATAATAGAAATGCCACTGTGAACTGAAACAAGCAAAACAAGTCTACACAAAAATGCACACTGAAAAGTTTGAAATTCTAACTGGTTATAGGAAAATATGGAAATGAATGTTGACGAGTACTCCCATCTCTAGAAAACAAAGAGCAAAGGTGGGGTAAGGTGGGGTGAGAATGGGAAAAGAAAGGTTTTAAGATACAGTTCAAAAGAAAAAAAATACCCATCTTACCTATGTGCATTTACTGCCTCCACCAATCAAATTATAGAAGAAATTCACCTAATCACGATTTTTTCTAAGTTTCCTTTGGTAACAGCTAGCAAGCTAGCATCTTTGCAAAAGACACTAAGTTTATCCATTAATCATAAACACTATGTAAAGTACATTTATTTTGTAACTCGGCATACTATTAACTTTATAAACCTCGGTAACAGCAATGTACTAAAATTTATAAACTATTTCCCTTAAAGGCTATAAACTAAATTTAGGACTTAAAGAATATCAGTGGAACTAAAGAGTACCTTTTTAAACATCTCTAAAAAAAACATGCTAGGAACAAGTTTTCTGGTAATTTGTAAGCATGTTTGGTTATATGTAATTACATATACGTATGTTCTATAACATTTAAAGTACTATATAAACTTTCATAGGATGTACATTATAACATTAAGAAATGAGTGGTTTTCTTAAAAATGCCAGATAATAGTATGTTAAGGTTACATCCCTGACAGAATCTAGTCCATATATCCCTTAACAATTCTCCCCCCAGCACATTGCTAAGCAAGAACATTCTGTCCAACTCCTACCAATTCCATTTAAGTTACAGCATTTAAGCTTTCAGAAAGATATAAGCAAAAGCTGGTTATACACCTCAAATCTCAGTCTTCTGAACACTTCTCTTTAAAGGTCAATTCCTCAAACATTTAAAAGAAAGTTTTAAAGAAGGTGATTTCCCAGTTTTTCCCTGTTCCCCAAGTGGTACAGAGTATAGCAAAAAAATGCTTTTCAGTTAATTTTCAATACTAAGTATACAAAAGTATTTACAGCTCTCTGTGCATTAGAATTCTCTGGGTCTGTCTGGCAAACAGAAACACATAACCCAAAAATTCTAAGCGGAAAAAAAAAATTCTAATCACCTAAGCCCCCAAAAACTGAATGGATAAAACATCTGACCAATGAAACAGAGAATCAGCCAACTAATGTTACTCTGACCTGAATATTCTAGCTAAAACCTCACTGAGAAACACTCTATAGGGCTTTTCCTTATACTGCTATGTGTACATATGTTCCACTATTTTCCTTAGTCAGTAAAAAGTGGAAACATGAACTTCCAAAACTGGGTGGCCCTGGGAAACAAATTAACTTGTATAAAGTTATACTGTTTACAAAAAAAGGATGCTGACATAGTACATAAAAGACTACCAGAACTGATGGACGATTTGCCACCACGTGGTCCACCACGACCTCGACCCCCTGAAACACTTCTGCCTCTTCCTCCTGGGCGTCTCCTGCTGTCACGCTGATGCCGGCTCTCTCGATCATCTTCTCCTGCCAATGACCAATCACTCAGCTCGTCTTTACGCTCCGATTCTGTTTCAGATGGATTAGACAGCTCAGAGTTTGTACCTTGGGAAAGAAGAGAACATGAGCCAATTATAATTCTATAAAAAACAAAGTAAAATCATTCATAATTATTTTCTACAATTCACTGTTTAACCCTACTGACTGGCTGCTCCAAAAAAAGGAAAATACAAATAAATCTGCAATTTGTTAACTAAGAAATAATGAAGTGTTTATATTACATACTAGTAATGTAACATCTACCAGAGTCAGACTAAAAATTGATTGTCTAGATGTGCAGAAACAGTCAATAAAATTTTATAGAAAACATACAAAACATTTTAATACAGTATGAAAATGCACTTTATTAAGGAATACCAAAAAATTTTTTGCCCATTTTTAGGTTTTTTAACAAATTGTTAGCATAATAAAAACAACCATAATCCAATATTTAAAAGCAAGTTTAATTATATTTATACAAATTAATAATTTAGTTGTACAGTGTCTTCTACCATTATTTCACTGATTCTAGGCAGCACTTTTTTTTCCCACATTTAACATCTCTGAAATCAAGTATTTCTTATAATTGACGGTCATAAGCTGGGAGTGTATATAAAATAACAGTATGTTTTAAGCATAATAATGTCTTCAATTAGAAGAATACCGTATGTGAAATCACTGAACAAATTTTAGATGGTTATTCTGAGAAGAGACTTTAAATCTGAAGCCATTACCAGTGAGACAAACATTCAGATTCACTTTAAAAGCTTACACTATTTCTAACATCCCAATGAGTTAATTTAACAGTGACCTTTTAAAAAATGTAAACACTGCAAAGATTCCCCTACAGTATCATTATATCACAATTAAAGTGTCAGATTTATATGAACCAATCACTATCATACTTTTCCCTACTTTTATTCTTTGTTAGTCCTGGGATGGTACTTCTTCCATCCTTCTGTTGTATCATACAGGTAATCTGCTTTTCAAAAGTTCACTACACACCACTTTGCTTTTATAAAAGACCTATATTAGTACCTGTTTTCACCAACCAAAAGAAATCCAAAGATTTTCACTTCCAGAAAAAAAAAAAGGCACAAAGAGAAAATAGCGTTCAGTATTTGTTTTAGAGTAAGCCATCACAGATGCAGCGAGCACCTCAGTGAAAGTGGCACTGCCCAGATCCTTCCTAGGGAACTAAACCACAGCATCTCACCATCAAGCCACCATAGCTTTGAACTTTGTGAAGGTCTATGCTTTATCTCAATTTATTTTGTGCATCTATTAGCAAGATGTGTCCTAAGGTAACTGCTTTTTCATATTATGCCATTTCAGCTTAAAAAAGGTTGCAAAGGAACACTCTACTTTCTGATAGTATGGGAAATCTATACATTCAAATATATGTCCTTCAGAGCCCAGTTCAATGTCTTTAACTTCAGATCAATTTAACTGTGAACAGACCTCTCCACTTACTTCCTTAAAAGTAATGTGCATCTATCATGCTGTACTGTCATGTGTTGTTTTCTATCTTTCTCCGTTTGGATTTACTTCCCACTTGGTCTGTAATATATTTAAAGGGTAGAGCTCTGTCTTAAACCTCTAAATGCCCCCAGAAGCCTAGCAATGTGCATTATCAATTTCCTCTTGATAAATGAATTTGCTGCCTGATTTTGAAGTTCCTTTGCTAAACTCCAAACATGAATGAATACATGATAAGCTAAAAATATCCTATATTAACGCCACAGTCATTGATGATAAAAGCAAACCAAAAGATTTTCAGATGCACAAAGTTGTAAGTACTAAGGTACAGGGAACAAAATGTAAAGTTTAACAAGCGAAGAAGCCTACCGACTTTCTTTCTCCTTTAAAGATAACTCAGCCCATCTTTTTTTCCCTCCATATGCCATTAAATATGGATGTAGCTAGTCAATTATGTAAGAATGGATTCAGCAGCAAATTAGAAGTACATTTCAGGAAAACCATAGCAAGCTTCTATTATTCACATAGGAGTCTTGGTTAAGAAATGAATCTCCCAAAACACTTATTTTTCCAAATGACAAAAAAACTTCATTAACTGATGTCATGGTTTAGTGGAATAAGGGCAATTTATCATTTCATGAGAAGCTAAAAAAAAAAAAATTACAGACCTATATACCCTGCCTGAAAACATAACCAATTTGAAGGTAGTTGAGTAATTTTTAAAGATTTTAACAAAAGTTCCTATTGAATTCTCTTTAGAAATACAGTGTATTTAACTCAGCATCAAAGCAAAGAAACTCTAAGTTTAACCTAAATCTAGTATTCAAGATACTTAAAGGTGTCTAACTCATAAACAGATTTCAGTAGATAAAGACAGCTATTAAGATCAAAAACACAAAAAAAACCAGAAAGAGCTAATAAACTGAGTAGTGCTCCACTTTCTTAATATTAAACAAACCTTAGCCAATTTTGAGATGGCAAAAGGAACTATACAGATTAATTAAGGTTAAGGATATTGAGATGGGGGGATTATCTTGGTAAGGTCAAACTAATCACATGGATATTTGTGAACCACTCCCAGCTACAGAGAACCAGAGAAATAACAGCATAAGGATTCTTCATAGTTACAGGCTTTATAAGATGGAGGAAGTGGGGATGGAGCGGCATAAGCCAAGGAATGAAGGTGGCCTCTAGAAGCTGGAAATGTCAAGGAAACAGATGTTCGTTCCCCAAGAGCTTCCAAAATGGAATAAATACATGCCAAATTTTAGACTGAGACTCCTATCAGATTTCTGACCTACAAAGGAAAGACAATAAATTTGTGTTGTTCAAGCCTCTGAATTTGTTACAGAAGCAACAGAAAACAAATACTCTGTTGAAATCATTGCAATCATTCCAATCTCTCAATTTTGTAAAATGTAAGTTCATGAATCAAAAAAGTGGGGGGGACGTTAAAAATGACTCATGAAACTGATCCAATCTTAAGACTCCAAAAGATAGAAATGTTTTAAACAGAATTTTAAACCATATTTTCCTGTAAACTTCTAAAATCACCTTATGAAGATGGTTCACATCCTTTTCAATGAATACATATGCTAACGTCGTATTTCACCAAATCCAACATGCCATCCATTATAAATCATAGTATTCTGTGTGCCATTCAAGAAAATACTGCCAATTAAAGTTCTAAGACATCATCCATTATAAGAAATAGCAACTTCAAAGATGTTATATTGAGAAAAATAGCTTATACATATCATCACCTAAAAATACTTCTGCTATTAAGTGCACAAGAACACCTATAATCAAATTCAAATGATTTTTATTTCTCTGGAGCCCACTTAAGTTCAACAGTTATTTCAAGAAATACAACGTTATTAGTCTGTAAAGATTCAGAGGTTAAGAGTGCCATCTACTGAACAATTTATATAGCTTTCTTCACTCCAAATGATAATCCCCTCCCATTCTCATTTATTATCTTCCGTCAACAAAGCATTTTGCCAAAGGGTGACCTCTCATCAGTAAGTGGTCTCCCCAGAGGCTTATAAAATTCTTCAATAATTCATCACCTGAAAAGCCAAATCTGATTATTTGTACTAGTAATATATACCCCTAAAATCATTCAGTATGTACTCAATTTCTATTTAATTACTGGCTGTCTTTTGTATTAAATGTGTTTTCAGGAATACAATATTTTCCAATTCTCAGTCCTTCACATACAGACACATTTACTGTAATTTTGCCTTTCAGGTTTCAACAGAGGGTTAAATTTAAAATAATGAAAAGGGTGGAAGGGAAAATTAACTCTTCAACTCTACAACAAATGCAAGATAGCACAGATTTACTATATATCTCTAGCACTGGTAGATGACTTCAAACGTGAAATGTGGGTGTGGAATCTGCACATTGTAAGCCTTCATGTACTTCTACTTTCCCTAAATGCCTTCTATTCTGGAATAGGTGTATGAAATATTTTCCCACAGCAGTTAGGAAGAGCAAAGGGGAGTAGAGAAGAGAAGGGAGGAAAAAAATCAGGTCACAGCTAAGATCCAAGTCCAAATGTAGAAAAATGGAAGAACTCCAAAGCTGAAGAAGAGTAAGTGAGAAATTTAGGATTAGAGAATCATTGATCATCAACTGTCCACCGGCCCGTTCCTACATGAGTCAGGCCCCATCCTCAGTGAATGTATTTTAGAAAAATGTTCATTTATAAAATGTTAATTAGTTTCTCACTTTTAAAGCCCTCATATTATTGAAATGCTATATGTCACATATTCCAGATGTGAGATATTAATATTCAAAACAGCCAAATGAACCAATAAAATGTATTTTTAAAACTAGTACTTATTTGCTACATGCAGTCTAGGCACAGTGATTAGCATAATTTCACGTTCACTTTTCCTAGAGGTTAGGCAAAAGATAAATCCTAGTAGTATCACTACCATCACAACGTTTTTAATGGAAATTGTATACAACTGTACGAGGGAAATATGTGGAAAACAAGCTGCATATGTATTTATCCTAAATGTTTAGAATAAACATGATCATGAGCTATAAACGTAACAAAAACATTTCATTACACTGCTACTTGAACACTACGTATCTTTTACTGTCATTAATACAGAGTATGCTGTCACGACTATTAAGACACAGACCTCAGAATCATCTCCTGCCCTCAAAGTCAAAAAGTGATGAACTAATTAAATAATAATAAGCAAAATGTACTGGAGCACCTCAACTAGTACTACCCCCAAAAAGAATGTTTTATTACCATAACCGGAGGTGTAATTAGGGCCCCGACGACCTCTGCCTCTTCCACTATAAGACCTAGAACCTTGTACAGAAGAGACGGTACTTTCATCAGTGGCATATCCTTTCTCTTTTTCAGGCCCTCTGGTGGAAGAAGGTCTGAAACCCATACCAATCTGTCGTAGCTGTTCATCAATCTGTAGGCGTTCCATTCTTAGCTGTTCTACTTCCTATAATCAAAACAAAAAAGTGTAAATCTTACATGTATTTTTTTTTTCTTCCTAAAGCCTAGAGATCAAGCTATACTCCCTACCAATAAAAGAGGCTGTGGTCTGGGGCTGTTATTAGGTAAAGTGTAACTGAGTTCCTAGTGAATTTATGTTTTAAAATGCCCCAACCATACTAAATGCAAAAAAGACATGGACTCTCCTCCCTTAAGGGAATGTTTATAGACAAGCATCAAAATAACCTAGAGAATGTTTAACAGTCAAGTGTTAAAATAACCTGTTTATTAAATAGCTAATGATTACACAGTATTACCAGATCTAGCCCTCAAGGAGTAAAAACTGCTAAAGGAGGTAAGGTACCATTACTAAAGGTACTATTAATAACCTGCTTTCCTACCAAAATAGTGACACACTAGAGTCGTCACCTAGATGAACTGGGAGACTTGGTCATTCAGAAATTAAGGTCAGAAATGAAGGTAAGGTGTCTAGAGAAAGTGCCTGGCTAAAAGGTAGTAGAGTTGTGGAATATAAAACATGGAATGCCATATTGAATTGGACCTAAAGATGAGTTTGAAAAGAAAGGAATGACATTATCAGGGACACTTTCAAAATATTAACATAGCAGCAGTAGTACAAGTGACTAAAAGGAAAACGTACTAGAGACAGAGCAGATGAGGTACTATATGCTAAGCAAGAAAAATACAGCACAAATAAAAATTGAGTATAAAACAACAATTCCAACTTACAGTAATTTATAGGGCATTTCTTTTAGTTCTAAAACCTTTGCTCTTTACTTACCAACTCAATAGTATATAAAGAACAATGGTTAAATGTGACAATGAATATATGTATGTTCATGTATAACTGAAAAATTGTACTCTACACTGGAATTTGACACAACATTGTAAAATGACTATAACTCAATAAAAAAATGTTAAAAAAAAATGATGGTTAAGGATTATCAAATGATGTCTATGAGGGTACTGCATGTAATTCAGGGAATACCACAGTTATCAAAGCCCACCTTCATTCACGGTTCTGGGCCCTATTTGCATATAAAACAGAAAGGTAAAAACAAAATGGTTCCAATACAGAACATGTAGATACAAAAGTAATGACAGTTAAGTTACAAGAACACAAATGTGGCCATGTCTTAAACAGGAAAGAAACGTAGAAGTTCAGAGGAAAAGAGAAACAATGTGCATGAGGCCAATCATTTTATTACGGCAAAGGACTCTTTATCTTTAAATTCTCATGCAGAAAAAAAGGGCAAATATGAACATGAATTAACAAAAATATTTAAAGATTTAAAATTTACTACAAATATTAATGTTAATGTGTGGAGCAACAATGATATGAATGTGAACAATATACAAACCTTTAGATAAGCAATATGATACTCTAAAAGAACTTGCACGTTTCCAATGCTTTCTTTAGTGCCAACAAATACAAATGGAACCATCCCCTGTAAGAAAACACAGCATCCTCAGTATTTAATATTTTTGTAAAAGTTCTAGCCTAAATATGACATATCAATATATATGGAAAACTTTTCTAAAATGAACAGTAATTTACTTCAAAGTTTAAAAATAAATGACTTTTAAAACATCAATATAATTTAAAATACTGAGATTTTTTCAATAAACTGCCTTATTTACACTATAATTTAGCATTTATGTGTGCTAAAAATTTTTAATTACTTTCTAAGTATCAGTTTGTTTTCTAATTTCTAATTCAATCTAATTTTCTAATTATAGAAACCAATTTAAAAAGAAATTTTCCTTCAAATTGGCATGAATTTTCAGACTAGATACCACCTTAGTAGTGTTGCCTTAAAAGCATAATCAAACAAATTAGCCAGGTTATCCCCAAGTGCTCAGATAGCAGAACTTTAAGTGTCAATGTACTAAAAGGAGTGCTTCGTGACCATTAACATAAGTATCATCTACAGACTAAATATTTACACGATGTAAAATAAAGGAATTACTGATGTAGGCAAATAAGTCACCAGTTATTAAAGCAAACGAAAAGATCAACCGGGACCTGGAGTATTTTACTAAATTTCAAAAGAGGAAGGTTTTGAAAAGTGGGAAGGAAGAGAAATAAGATAGCTAAATGATGGGTTTTTCCCTTTAAAGAAATGCATTTCAGTTTCCTACTGGCTAAGGGAAATGAGTATAGCCTAAGTAAACTCACCCAGTTGCAATGTCTTTCCTTACTTTCCTGATTGTACAGAACAGTTCCTAACAGTTATTTCAGACATGGGAGACTAAAAAGAAGAATCGCACTAGGGCAGGTACTAAGGCTACAGTACAAAGCACAGCTATTGTGGAGCTTAGTGACTAAAGAAGTAACTACAACTAGGAAGGCATAAACAAGGGACTCTAAAGTGAAAGAAGTCTTGACCCTGTCCTCAGGAATTCACAGGTAGATAATACAGGATACAAAGTGAGTAAGAGATGGGGGTGGGAAGAGAGAGCTAAAAACTTAAGCATGTTATCATATTTCCAAGAGTGTATTATCTACGTTCATCATTTAATGTTCATTAAAGTCACTTTAAGAAATATCTCAATTTTACAGCTGAGAAAACAATTTGCCCACAGTCGTAAAATCAGCAACTGAGCCAGCCAATTTCATATCCAGTTACCTAATTCCAAATAACATCCACTTGTTAACTGCCAGAATCTATGTTAAGGAATAAGAACAAAGTCCCTGTTCTAAAGCTAACCATAATCTCAGAAAAGATACTAAACACTCCTATAATACTACTGTACAGCATTAGTGATAGGAATTAAAAAAATGGCAATATTAGGTGGAATGTGAAATTATGCCACCCCCAGATGTGGAAATTTAGGGGAATTCATAAGACTATTATCCATTTAAAGTGAATATTAAAAACAACTAGAATTTTACCAAGTAGATAAAGATAGGATATTCATTCCATACAATCAATCTGCAAGGATTATGAGAAATAAAATGCCTTAACCCTGAACTGGAGATATTATCACTAATAGTTACCTTGGTAAAAAGGCATCCTTAATGGTGTATATTTTATACAATAGTTTGATAGCTATTATAAACCATAACAAAAAAATCTGGAATAAAGAGTAGGTAATTATTACTGCATATATGCATTCACATCTAAGTAATTCTAGTGAACTTTCTAGATTAAAAAAATTTTAACTGATTATTTATAGTTAATAGATGACACTGAGACAAACAACTAGCACTCAGAAAAAAATTAAAGCTTATCCCTGCTCCCGATACATTATACCAAAAAAATTCTAATTGGAGAGAAAAATTTAGTCATTAAAAGAAAAACAAACTCAAACTGGAGGGGAAAATATAAATGCAATTCTGAATGATCTACAGGTAGGAAAGACCTTGCCAAACAACATACAAAATGCAGAAGTCATAAGGCAAAAGTCAGAAAAAAAAAATCCAGTACAAAAAAATTTGAATGCCTGCACAGGAACAAAAAAGTCAAAAGAAACAAATATTTGCCACATACATGAAAAGAGAAAAGACTAACTTCCACAAAATACAAAAAGGTCTTACAATTCAGTAACAAAAAAACCAAAAAATATGTAAAGGACAATCTGCTTACAGAAAATGCCTTTCAAGCAAACGGAAAGGTAACATGTCTATCTTCTGGAATGGCACTAATTAAAGTTTGATAAAACCCCAATATTGGCAAACGTGGAAACTAGACATTTCCTATACTGGTGGAAGGAATGTATGGGAAAACTTACAAGATCTAAAAATTTAAACGCCCTTTGATCTAACAAATGCACTTCCAGGAATTCACTTTCCAGTCACAAGGAACCTTTGCTACAGCATTGTTTTTAACAGTGACAGACATAAAAAGGCAATCTGACAACAGTCTTAAATCTATTAGGCATGATGGAGAAAGACAGACATGGACAGGACATAAATATATTTTTACACTCTACTCAAGTTATTCTTTCACATAAACCTGTTTCTTTAAACTCACTTATCCTTTAAAAAATCTTAATAAACTCATATTTATCAGGTGTCTACTCTATACAATTCACTGTGCTAGGAAAGAATGGAGAACATGAGAATTCAGATTTAATTTTTTGACTTCAAGGAGATCATAACGTGGCTTGGAGACACAAGATAAACCAGAAAACAACACATAAAGCTTAAAGAAAATATTAAATACACAATTACAAAGACAATAAATAAAGGCTGCAGTATACAGGTGGGAAAGGTCATTTCAGGCCACAGGTAAATTAGCAAAGACTTCCAAGGAAACAAGTTATGAACTGACTCTCCAGAGGAGTTAGTTTAAGTTGTGAAATAGTGGCTCAAAATAAGTCAGTATTAGCCTTCTAGATATAACATGTAATCTTTCGAAAATTGAAAAATTTTTGTATATTATTGGTTTCATCTTAAAAATATTGGAAGATACAGCAACACATAATACATGCATTCCTACATGGCAACCAGATTAAACCTGAGCAGCATCTGCTTCTTTTACAGAAAGACACAATGTGCCCTCCCATCACTATCTTGTGCTTCCCAACCTGCTTAATCATTTACATAATCTGTTTGGTATGTTTAAGCATTTTAATTTCTTAGCCCTGGCAGAGAAATGGCAGTGACAATGACTAAAAACTATAAACACAGGAAAGTACAATAACTTCTTAATTTATGAAGGAGGACCTGAAAAGAACTAGCTTGCAACAAGACAGTAAATACTGGAAAACAACTGGGAATAGAATAAGTCAAGCTAAGGGAAAACCAGATACTAGGATCAAGCTAAGAAAATTATAGCTGAGTCAAATGACCCTGATCAGTAAACATCTTGATCTTCAGATCAATTTTAGGCAGTAGCTGTATGCCAAATGGATGACATATTTCACATATTAAATATAAATGGGGAAAGCATCAATTTTTAATAATATAACACCACCAATTTTAACCATTATGTCAAAGGCATCTTTAAGTCATGAAAAATGGGGTCACCTCCCCCACCATGTTGGGCATAGTGTTTGCTTAACAGGAGGTTAAAATTACTTGAGGTTTATGGCAATTTTTGAAGTAGTGTAGGATGAAATCAATCCACAAGAACTCATTTGTATAACACTAAGTTAATTCTTTCCCTCATTCATTTCTAAGTGTGTATTTATCTCTACATTCTAACTAATTAAAAGGAATAAAGGAAATGGCTATCTTTCAAAGGTATCTTTACAGCATTCAATAATTGGTGTGAAGCTATTTAACTGAACTAATGCCTACAGTTCTCTTTCTCCCTCTCCCTCTTTTTTCTGTCTTTAACAAGACTTATCCTATTCAACAGGCTAACAATCTCTTCAAATAGTTATCTATTGTACAAAACTGAAGAAGATGCGAGCATACTACTTTCTGGGAGGTAATTTGGGAGAGAAATCCTTCCCTTGTATTCAGACATACAACTATATACAGAGTTGACCACTAGAGTCACAAAGGTGAGAAATGCTGAAAGTAAATAAACGAAAAGTAAAACACAGTTCTGTGAACAAAACATCAAAATGTAAGAAAACTGAAGAAATTTCAGAAAGTTATCAGAATTAATAGGATATAAAGCTTCAAGATTTCAATAAAGAAATGGTCAGAGCTTTCAAATTCTTAAAAAAAGTCAAAGAAAGTGTTATTAAGAATTCCCTTACAGCAGACTGTTTTATTTAGAGTATCAAATTTTACAGCTTGACACTCCAAAAAAGAAACAGAACTGTTAAGATTATCAAACTGAAGCATTTTTATCAAAGTGTCTTTTTTACTGAAGTACTGAGAAACCAACCAAGAGCCCAAGGCCCACAACTGAAATATGACTTGTTTTCTAAGTGTATAAAGCAATATTATAAGGAACAGAATTTTTTTAAAGAAAAATCTGCTGCAGAGTGTAAATAGTTCACTGGATATAACTTTCCTACCACTCTGAAACTGTAACATTGTAAGTAAACCAAGAAAACATGAAAAAAAAAAAAGACGAATTAAATTATTTTAAATACTTACATCTTCTCTAGGTAGTTTATTTTCATTGTCTCCTTCAATTCTCACCCGAACCACACCAGATTTGTCCACTATTTCTTGAATAACTTTGCCATTTTTCCCAATTACTTTTCCTTTAATAAGAAAAAACAAATATAATGATAAGTTAAAAACCAGTATTATCATTTCAACACCAGCCCAAATAACTTATGACTTGCTATCAAATTAGAAAAATCAAACAAAGCTCCACCTTGTCACTCTCAGAGTGAGGAATTTTATCCTTGGTCTGAAACCAGCTTCTCTTCAGTATACCTAAGGTTACTACTATTAACTGGGATTCATAGTGCTGCTCACGTGAGACATTTTCAAAGTCTAAGTATTTTTCAATATGTTCTATATCATTTTTATATTTTTAAAATATCAAGCCCAACCCATTTCAAAAGCTTGGAAATATAAATGAAGACAGAAAGAAAACTTATTTTGGCATTAATCATATCAATTTATTACATATTACATATATTATTCAAACAACTAATAAATTCAATCTTACATTTATTTTCAAGTTCCTATCTGTTCAAAAGACACCTAGGACTTCAAGATTCTTATAAAATGAATATTCTCGTCACAGAAATAAAATGTTTACATTTAACAAGCATTACATTCTATACCCATAAATTCTTAAACTACTTCACAGATATGCAACGACATACAACATGTATATGTTTTGCTGTCTTTCTAGATATGAAATACTGTAAAATGAAATAAAATTCAAATTATTTACCTTCATCACACTTTGTAAGTCTGTCAAATAGCAGTTATTGAGTATCCAACAATTAAAGGAGAACATGAAGATGCTCTTCCCCTTAGGAATGCACTTGTTATAAAGCTAACACACACTCAAATAACAAAGCAATACTGAGTAGTGTTACCTGGTAACAAAAGTAAATATTCAGGTAACCACCACTACATGGAATAGATGTATCGCTTATAGTTAACAGCAATACCATATTTGTTATTAAGTCCCACTTCTCAATTAGTTAAATTTTTATACTATATCAGCAATTTATTAGCACAATAAATTTGGGTTGAAAGAGGTTAAAATGGAAGTATTTCCTATTGCATGCTTAAGAGAACAGTTTCCAATAAAGAATAAATAAAGGAACAATGGCAAAAGTAAGCCAGTCAATACAGCAGACACTATTATAGGATTTTCTATCCCTAGTCTCAAACCTCCTTCCCCAATAACCCTAAATTTAAAAGCAGCAGCAACTGAGAGGGAAAAAGAAAAAGAGTAGGAGAGGAAATTCACATGATGTACGTCTTCTCTGAGTAGCCCTAGCAGCATCATACAAAAGCAACCTTCATGTTAACAGTGACGCTCAAGCAGCAACTCCATCCTTGACCCTGCTAAAAATAAGCAAATATCTTTTCGAAAATACAAAAGTCAGGTTGATGTATCATAATCACTCCCCAAAATCTTTGCCCCTTCCTTCTTGTGAACTGTACCAGTGGTGAGTGAACATTCATCATCCTTCTGGGGTCCATGGCAAGGACCTAGTTGACAGTTTTATTTAGTCCCACCAGAGACTGTCAATATTTTAACTAATCATTTCCACAGTTCAAATTTCAAAGCATACTGACAAACTGAAGCAGACCTGTAGTGTAATTTGAGCACTGAGCATAAATGCTGAAGGGACAGAGTAGAGAAGTGATTAAGGGAGGCTTCCAGGAGGTGAAAGGTTTCAATTCACTTTCAAACCAATTATCATATAATAAATTTTCTTTGATTTGGGAGGGGTGGGAATTTTCAGTCAAAGTCTAGAACTCTTAAAACCTGAATATGTATGGAAAACCTCTCTGCTCTGAAACTTACCCAAGTAGTCCTCATTCTCTTTTACTCCTCAGTCCTCTTTTTCTCTTTCACTTGAACTAAGAATGCACTATTTTTTGAAAGGCTGCTTCACCCATAAAACACTTGAGAGAAATGTCGTATTATTATACACAAAAAAACAATTGAAGTTTTCCACTACTTTCGAGTATTTCACCAACACATGTAATACTCGCTAATACGTATTTCCTAAACGGTAAACACATAACCCCTAATCACCAAAGCCAACCAAGCCAGAATAGAGGGGAAAAAAGAAAAATGACTGGACCTAACAGTACATAGATAAAACGAATAAAAAGAATCTGAGAGCTACAAATACATCCAACTTCCTTATTTCTGAAGTATCAGGAATTTTTACTCAAAACTAACACTACCAAAAATTCAGGACCAAGGCTATCTTCTATTGAATTGTTGGGTTGGAAACAACACTGACTCCCTTGGAAACACTCACCTCCAAATCATTTTTACAAGAAATCTAAATTAAATTATGTTCTGTAAAAGGAGCAACCACAATGTTAGTATGTCAGTGATGGAGTATGATTTAAGTAAAGGGGATCAGTTTCAAAAGCAGCTTTCTCATCAAAGGTGTTTTCATTTGACAAAAATAAGCATTTGGTAACATTCTATTATATTAACATTTATTAAAATTATACAGAATTCATGAGGCTTATATTCAATTTTAACATCTCATTTCTCCAGCAACTCAGCATACAGTGAACAACAGTTTCCAAGAACAGATAAAAGTGGAGCTTAGTTAACTGGCAAGATGTCATAACCATTCAAATGTGGGGACAGAAGTGAAAAGCTTTTTAGATAACCAACAGCTGAACACAAAAACTATCCAGATTCTTGTGTTGTGCACTACTGTTTCAAGTACACTACTTGTTACTGACCAAAACATCTTTTTTTACAGTTGAAGTGTACTGTTTTTTTTAAATCTTCTCCTACTGATGTTTTGACCAAAAAACACATACAGAATTCTTTTCCTAAAGCCAGAACAGAACTAACTATATACAAATGGAGCCTAAGCGGCTCTAATTTACTAAGGTCAAAAAACGAATCAATAGACAATCCTCTCCTCCCTCCAAAAAAAAAAAAATCATTCCCCTAGTAAACTTCACTAGTTTATGTTCATGCTTATTTTTATATTAAACTTTCAGAATAATCAGAGTATTTAACATGTGACTAAAGTGTTCCCATATGTCTCAAACAGCATTTAAAAGGGCAGCACAGATATAGGGGATGTTAATAATAAAGCTATTAAACAACTAATCCCAAGCTATAATGCTGTAACTTCAGCTTCAAATTCAAAAATTTTTGTCACTTAACTTACAACCCATGGGGTACAGTGATTCTCATTAACAGTGTCAAAAACTTAATAGTGAAACCTCCCCTCATATCCTTCTCTCCTGCCCGTGACTTCTTACCTTATTCTATGTCTTTGCAACAACCAATTATTATTTATTCAGGGCCTACTGTGTAGAAGTTTATTACCCTATTGTTAGTCCACTCATTTTTTCTTCTGCACTAAACAAAAGAAAAAAATTATCACAAATACCTTCTCAAAAAGTACTATGACAATTTTGATGGATAAATAAATAATAAAAAGACATGAAGCAAATGATAAGAAAGAGCTCAAAGGATGGAGAGGCTTAAGAAAAATTAATGACAAACTTATAAAAATCGTAAGTCTTATTAGTGGGTCACTCCGTACAGAAGAAAACATTTTAACATGATAATAATGAGATACAAGTAACATACATTATTACTAAAAGAAAAGGAAAAGAAAAACACTCCACATAACTTTAAGTGAAATAAGGTATCACAAAAGACTAATTGTCAATTAAGTCACTGTGTGTAATTAAGTAACATTTAACTTATTTAACATTTAGTAGAAGTTACTTACCAACAAGATTCCTAGGAACCTGAATAAAATCCTCCACAAATTCCAAGAAACCTCTAGCCTTTTTCACAGCATCAGCACTCTGTAAGGGGGTGGAGGAGGGACACAAACATGAAATGCAACCCTGAAGAAACCAACAATCCATAAAACACAAAAAATGAGAAAAAAACCCTTAGGCTCTAATACAAGATTCTGCTCAGCCCACCAGAGTGACATTTCAAATCAAGTAATTCATGAAGTTTTTTTTAAGTCAGAGTAATTATTAAATGGATATGAAAAAAGTCTATTAGAAATCAAAATGTTAGACATCCCTAAGGTCCCTTTTAAGCTCCTGAGAAAACGAGCGAAAGAGTCTAACTTACTTAATCCTAAATACATCTGGCCCATACTCCTATGCTGAATTTCTCCAGGTGGATGTTAAAACTCAATTGTTCATATTATCTGTACTGTCTGCACTGATTTTTTTCATTCTCACCATTAGAAATGACTTAAGAGACTGTTTTTACAGAAATGCATTTTTTAAGCTCGTATTGATAATACCATTAAAATTCCTAATTTTTAATGGGTACAATTTTAAAAGACTAAAAGATGGGGGGGTACCTCTCTAAAAGGAATGTATAGTTCTCAGTAAGTTAACTTTCACTTTTAATGTCTGCCCTTTAATAACCATAAATCAAGTATATTGTGTGCTCACTATATCATACACAACAAAAAATTTAAAACTGTATTTAACTCTCCTAAACTGTAAGGTAAGCACTATTATTATTCTCATTTTACAATAAGGAAAACTACACAAGGAAGCTGAGTAACTTTCTCCAAGCCCTCTCAAAGTGGCAGAGGCAGAATTCTAATTCAGGCAGTATAGCTCCAAAGCCTTTCATCTTCATTACTTTGTTATACTTCCCACTTCTAAAGGTTTCAGAAGTAAAAATCAGGCCTGTATTCAGATTTACTGTATGACTCAAATGAAAAGTCAAGACTTGAAATTACCACTCCAAAAAACCTCATTCATTTATTCTAATGTGAAGGATGGTCTCAATGACAAAAAGTTTATTTTTCAGATTTATTATTTTCCTGTCCACACAAATGTCACCAGCAACCAATGACAAATTACTACTCAAATTCAAGTTCCATAAAAGCTATTCTATTCTATGCTATTTAAAACTGCCAGTGCCTGACACATAGTAAGCACTCAAAAAATATTTGAATAAATTACTTGTAATGCACATAAAACAGAGTAAAATTCAAAAGCAGTTAGTTGGTTAAGGAACTTCTGAAAACAGTACACAATAAATACTCAGCAAATATTTCAATGCCCCATATAACACAGTATCTTCAATCTACCTACATATGTGTACTGATTGCTGGGCTGACTGGTTTTAAAGCATTTTACCAGGAAACTGAATTTCTAAACAACAGTTAATGTTATAGTAAAAGCTACCCAACGTAGGGGACAGCAGCTTACCTCTCCATAGATTCTAAATGTTCCAGTATCTTCATCTAGCTCAATAGCTGTAACTCCAGGAACCTTCCTAGCTTGCTGTATATTACTACCATGCGTTCCTATCGCCAGGCCCATCAAATCTTCTCTCACAACAAATTCCTCATGAAAAGCTGCTGCAAGTTGTTTTGTGCACTAGTAAAAGAGGCAAATTAGAATTTATTATAAAAGATCAGAAAAAATAAAATTTTTGTATACCCATGTTCATAGCATTATTCACAACAGTCAAGAGGTGGAAGCAACCCAAATAAATGTCCACTGACTAATGAATGGATAAACAAAATGTGATATATATTCATACAACACAGTATTATTCAACCTTACAAAGAAAATTCTGACACATGCTACATACAACATGGATCAGCACTGAGGACAGTATGCTTAGTGAAATAAGCCAGTCACAAAAAGACAAATACAGGGTTATTCCCTTATATAAGGTATTCAAAGTAGAACAGTGGTTGCCTGGAGCTGGGGGGAAGGGGAAATGGGAAATTGTTTAATGGACATAGTTTCAGTTTTGCAATATGAAAAGGTTCTGTAGATTGATCAATAATATGCATACACTTAACACTATGAAAGGCACACTGAAAAATGGTTACTTAGGATGGCAAATTTTGTTTATTTCACCACCGTTTAAAAAAAAGAACTAAAAAAAGGAATAAAGAAAATTACTTGGGATCATATAATGGAAAGGAGAAAAGGTTTGATCAGTCTATTTAATCATGGTCATAGAAAACAGTAATTTTAAAACAATTTTCCAGAATTACTGATACAGGCAGTTTTTCAATTCAGATGATCCATGTTTCAAAACTCATTCCCATATTCCTCGTTTAGAACTTTTAAATAAGGGTACCTGTATACCTGTCCTAGAGAAATTGATGTATGTTTATCTTTAAGACAGTGTGTGTGCATGTGTGTTTGGGAGATGGTGGGAGAAGCTAAATCTAATAGTGTGGCAGTGAAGAATAGAAGACAGGAGTACCTTAGGGCAGGGTAGAGAGAAGCAACAACCAGCTTTCTTTTAAAAACTACAAGCTATGTGTCCTTCCTCTCTTACACAATGGTTGTATAGTGAACTACTTACTAATGAAGTGCATTGTGACTGACAGACAACAGGGTAGAAAATACAGAGTAAAGAACCAGTAGTACAGTTCTACTGGAAATCCCTAGCGATTTTCTAAGCTCTCTGGCACCTGTCATCTAAGTCCTAAGAAATGACTCAACGGGCATTTAGCAGACAAAAGGCTATGTTTGAGGGGTTCCGGTCAAGATGGCAGAGTGGTAGGACCACGAGCTTGCCTCTCCTTGGGACTACAATGAAACCACAACAGAATGCTAAACAACCATTTAAACCACTGAAAGAAGACTGGAACCTAGTAAAAAAGATCTTCTGCAACTGGAAACAAAGAGGGAACCACAGCAGTAAGAGGGGCGTGCTCTTGATATAACTGGGTCCCATCCCCCCCGGGGGGGGGGTGCAACCCACAAGCTGAAGATTTGTTACAGAGGCCCTCCCACAGGGGTGAGAGCTCTAAGCCCCACGTCAGGCTCCCCAGCTGGGGGAAGAGAAGGAGACCCCAGTACATCTGGTTTTGAAGGCCAGGGGGGATTGGCTCTGGGAGCCTCATGGGACTGAGGGAAACGGAGACTCCATTCACTTGAGGCATACACGGAAACACACGTGCACCCAGTCCAAGGAAAGAGGCAGTGATTTCATAGGAACCTGGGCCAGACCTGCCTGCTGGATTTGTAGGGTCTCCTAGGAACACAGGGGGGTGGCTGCGGGTCACTCAGGAGACACAAAGGCTGGTGGTGGACATTCCGTGAGTGTTAATCTACAAGAGCTTTCCTGGAGGCTGATATCTTGATTGGATCATTAGCACCAACAGCCTGTAGAGGCCAAACAACATACCGGGTGGGAACACAGTCCCACCCATCATCAGACCTCCTGAGCCACAAAGGCCTCTAGACACAGCCCTGCCCACC